TGGAATGAGAATAGAACTGGGATGGTTTCCCCCTTTTAATTCATAGACATAAATTATGAAAATATACCGAGTGATGTATATAGTCTGTGTCCATCTAAGACCTACGAACATATTACAGTAGTTTAAATGGCACGCATTAAAATAAAGTCACACATGCATTATGAGTACTTATCTTTTTCCAGATGTTTTCATTGCTTTCTGAAGTCACTGATCTTCTATCTGCGGGGGCTGCACAAGACTGGCAATCTGCATGTCGACATCCTTTCTTTAGCCATTGTTTTACATAATATTCTGCATCGAAAGCACTAAGAGGGGGTCCCACTGATGAAATAAATGTTAAAATACATGCTGTTTTTAAAAGCATCGAGCTTCGGATGGTTGAAATAATGTTGTTCATGTTGCTGAATGCACGCTCACACTCTGCAGTTGAAATAATAATAGTATTTGCAGCTGCAATCAACGGCTTTAGTTCATCAGGATACATGTCGTCACCATTCATAATATTCATGGAATCCATGAACTGAAGTTTTCTTACGCACCATAAATGACTCAGCGAGTTCCCTAATCTCTTTATCAGCAAAACATGGATCTTGACATTTTACCCACTTAGCCTTATCCATTATTTTCAAGTTGTCCAGTAACTGACTGTATTTGTCCCTGTTTGACCATGTTGTGTTACTACTTCCAGTCGATTTGTGTGAAGCTCTAGTGGTGAACATTCGGATGTTTACATTGTCACTTAATTTCTGAAAGAATTGTTGTTCACTAATCTTCTGCACTTTTCCATGTTCTAAGCTAACTCCTTTAAATTCTAATTTATCAGCAGCCGTTAGAACTTCAGAATAATATTCACCTGGATTATTTGCCATGGACTGAAAGACGTGATACTTAACAAGAAGTAAATGATGTGCTTCAGGCAACGTGATTTTGTTTTCTTGTAATTTTAAAGACAGGTGTTCAAGTTCTGTTAAAGCATCGAACAGAAGTCCCATATTTAGAACAAAGTTTACGTCACTTAGTTTTCTTTTCAATCCAGAATATTGAGCTCTCTCCCTTCCTGTGCGTTTTGGGTCTACAGAC